GGCATACACCACACGAATAAGGCTAGGTTGTGTTGGGTAAGTACTGGTGACGAGGAACTGGTTGGTCTTTGCCGCAAGGTAGGCACGAGCCCGTGAGGCTGCGAGTGCCGCAGAAAGGCAGAAGCCCGGAGGCTGTGATTGCCGCAGGAAGGCAGAAGCCCGGAGGCTGTGATTGCCGCAATGGAAAGGCAGGACCATAAGGCCATAATGCCGCAATAGAAAGGCAGACCAGTTATGAGTGACTCGCCACCAGGTTTATTGTACTTGAAGTAGGAATGATGCAATGTAGTATTAATGGTTAGTGGTGGGATGGTGGGTCAGCAAAAGACAAAGGCAGCAGGATGCAAGTCGGGCATGAGCCAAAGCAGAGAAGACTCAAAACTGAGAATGGCAAGGAGATGTGCCACGTTGCGGACTCGGACCCGATCAAAACTGAATTAATTATTGTGATGGCGTACGCATAAATTAATGTGATGCACAGCAGGCGGTCTTGCCGGTCGCGGCAAGGCGCGCTAAACAAGTGCCGCGGCCAGAACCGTAGAGGGCGCTGTAGCGCAGCAGATACGTAGTTGCGAGATGTGCGCCTACGCTAAACTGAATTCATTACATGAATACATCATTAGCATTCCGCGCACGCAGACGGCATGCAGGCAGGCATACATCATTAGCATTCCGCGCACACCGGCGGCATGCAGACAGGCATACACCACACGAATAAGGCTAGGTTGTGTTGGGTAAGTACTGGTGACGAGGAACTGGTTGGTCTTTGCCGCAAGGTAGGCACGAGCCCGTGAGGCTGCGAGTGCCGCAGAAAGGCAGAAGCCCGGAGGCTGTGATTGCCGCAGGAAGGCAGAAGCCCGGAGGCTGTGATTGCCGCAATGGAAAGGCAGGACCATAAGGCCATAATGCCGCAATAGAAAGGCAGACCAGTTATGAGTGACTCGCCATACCGCCAGTACATACCCATACACAACAGTATTGCAGTGCAGCATAGCATAGTTCATAATGAGGGAATTGTGTGAATTGAGAAATATCGGTGTCAGGGAGATGATCTTACTGAGGATAGTTTGCTGGCCAGCGTTCGGGCCGATGACGGTGGGGTCCGGATGTAGCGTAGGCATGCATCACTGCGCCACCGTCCCGCGGAGCGGATCTGGTGGTCGGGGACGCCAGCAAGGGCAGCAGTGGTAGCGGCCCCGATACGGAAGCTGTGGCCTGCATAGTCCTGCCAGTTTGCCACGCCGCTGGTGCTAAGCAGCGTGCGTACGTGGGCTGTAAAAGTGCTGCGGTTGAGGCGTTGCCCGTTGGCCAGGATGAACACAGCACTGCCTGGACGAGCAGAGGCGGTTGCAGTGAGGTAGGTGAGCATGGCTCTCACAGCGTAGTATGGCGGCACCGCTGGCCCGATCAGCACCGTCGTACCTTCCCCGGACGGGTCTGTCTTCGAGCGTGGTAGGTGCACATGGAGCATCCCTGACTCGAATGTCAAACAGCCGCGCGTGGTAGGTGCTTCTAGCAGTTCACCGCATCTGAAGAAACCAAAGAACACGGCAAGCATAGCGGCATGCAGGCAGCGCTTGTCGTGAGGGCACATGGTTGGAGCAGCTAGGCAGGTGTCAACCAGACTGCAGAGAATAGGAAACGTGATTGGCAGCCTGGGGCGGACAGCGGCTACTCCATGGCAACGGCAAATACCGCGTACCACTCGCTTGAGGAAGTGCGCACCCTCGGTCGGGTCGACATAACCGAGCTCCAGGTGCAGGTTCTTGATAGCACTGAGGTAAACCTTAATAGTCACTGGTCTGACCGACTGGGTTAGGGAGGCAGCAAAACTACTCAGCATTAGGTCTGAAGCGGGAAACGGGGACCATCTTTGAAGTTGGCAGAACTTGAGATACTTAGATTCGCCGGCGGAATACGTTCGTCTGGTGTTGTCGGATAGAGCGTGAGCAGCATATCGTGCTGCTAATTCGTCCGCGGCAGTTAGAATGACTGGAACAGGTCGGCTGTCGCCCGAGCTCCCGGAACCGCCTCGCGAAACGCCTGAATGTTAAAACGAGACAGAGCATCAGCGGCTTTGTTAGTGCATCCTGGAATATGCTTTGCTGACAGAATGAAGCCAAAGTTAGCGCACATGAAGAACAGCCGTCGTATCAGGTCCATGACTGGGGGGGAGCGGCTACAACCATTGGACAGGCATGCCACTACGGCTTCGTTATCGCAGTACACGAGTATGCGGAGCTTGCGCCATTCAAGGCCCCAGGAGGAGCAAGCTGCGGCAATGGCGAACATCTCCTTCCACTCGATGGTGTAGTCGGCTTGTTCCGGCAACCACTGTCCCTGGATCCAGCGATGGCCATAACATGCGCCCCAGCCGATCGAACCGCTGGCATCAGTAAACAATTGGATGTCGGGAGACGGGGTCCAATTTGGCATATGAAAGAAGGACTTTCCGTTCCATTGCGAGAGGAGGCGTTGCCACCACTTCAGGTCTTCCAGGGCCTCGACTGAGAGTTTGATCTTATAGTGTGGCTGACTGTAGCGGTGACAAATATCCCAGAGTCGGCGCATGAATGTCCGACCAGGTATAATTACCCGAGCTGCGAAGGAGAGTTTTCCCAGTAGTGAGTCGAGTTCGCGTTGGGTCATGTCGCCACGGTTGACATACTGGTCGAGCAAGGTGCGGAGATCTTGCAACTTGGTGTCTGGTAGCCGGGCCTCCAGTCTGCCACAGTCCAGCTCGATGCCCAGGAACGACAGCACTTGAGCTGGACCTTCCACTTTGTCAGGTGCCAAGGGGACTTGGACATAGTTAAAACAGCGAAGCAGGATTGAAGCACGTTGGTTCGCCACCAGCTCCGATGGAGAAATGCAAAGGAAATCATCTAGATAATGGAGCAGGTCAGTAATAGAAAACTCATAGCGAGCAATCCATTCAAGGCAGTCGGCAATAGAGTTAAAAATGGCAGGGCTGGAGCGTAAGCCAAAGGGGAGCACAGTGTCGAAATAATATTGGTTTTGCCAGTGAATACCTAGCAGAGGCCAGTCTTCCTGCCGCACAGGTACAATGCGGAAAGCACTCCGAATGTCAAGTTTGAAAAGATAAGCAGAACGACCGTACTGCATAATGGCATCGATCGCGTGATCAATAGTGATGTAATGCAAGCTGAAATCTTCACGTGAAATTCCATCGTTAACACTTTGACCCTCTGGGCTAGAGAGATGGTGGATTAAACGGAAGCGGCCGTTCTTTTTCGGAACGCAGCCAACACCGGAGCAATGAAAAAAAGGAAAAAGCGAGGAGGAAAAAGGACCTAGCAGTTCAAAGCGGGAGCAACATTCTTGCAGGTATTTGGTAATAAAATCGGGATGCATCCTCGCAGAAGGTAAGTTAGGGGAGAACATGCTGCTTTGGCGTGGGCCATTGAAGCCGATGTCAAAACCATACGTAAGGCCATGAAGTACATATTTAACAAAAGCTTGATTGGGGTGTGCACGCAGTAAGGAACGGAGGCGATTAACGTGAATAGGTGTGCGGCAAGTGTGAAAGAATGTAGGGTGTGTCCGGAGAATGCTACTATCGAGATGCAGTTCATTAAGCTTTGTTCTGCCGCTGGTTGCCAGTGGAGAAGCGACGCGGGCAGGAGGGGCGGGCATGTGCGCCCTCACATTGGGAGCAGACGTGGGCAAATTTACAGTCGGTGTTGGAGCATCGACCTTGCTGGAAATTCCGGCAGATCTCTTTGCCAGACTTGGTGTAGGCAGACCGTGGTGCAAACTGCTGGTTTGGTACTCGGGAGGCACGAAAAGGGCACTGGCTACCCGATGGAGGGTGAGTGATCCGGCATGTACTACACTGCGGGCGTGAGCGGCCTGTCATTTTCAGTTGCCAGAGGTTGCCGTCAATGGCGTCCCAACGCTTACTGGGGTCAAGAGAGATTGCCAGACGGAACTCCCGGTCATATTCGAGCCAGGCCTCCGGATAGTATGAGGAGTTGGCCGATACAATGGTGGCCTGATATGCCATCAGTTCGGAGAAACGGCTGGGTGCGTGCGAGCATAGTACGAACATATATCTGGACCAGGCTTCTAGCCATGTAACCAGGTCGTGAACATGCCTACGAACTTTCTCGACATGCCCGCCAGAGCTGGGATCCAGCAGCTCAACAGTCCTGGACCCACTGAAATTCAACTGAATCGTGTCACGCTTTGGTGCCCCAAGAGCTTCCGGTAACAGTGTATTCAAATCAACACACTCACCTCGCAAAATCCTCTCTCTCACGTGAGACGGCACGTTCAGTGGATGAGATAGAGAGCCAGCACCCGGACCAGTTGGCGCAGCATTTCCGGTGGGTACGGCCATGGCGGGGGAAGGCTGCGAGGATCCGATGGTGGCAAGCAGTGGGGAGACCGTTTCTGCCAGGGCGGCGGTGACGGCTTTCTGGACTTCGTCAGATATAAATTGCTTGAATTGTCCGCCGTCGAGTGGTGAGGCAGCGTTACTCGGCAGCAAAAGACAAAGGCAGCAGGATGCAAGTCGGGCATGAGCCAAAGCAGAGAAGACTCAAAACTGAGAATGGCAAGGAGATGTGCCACGTTGCGGACTCGGACCCGATCAAAACTGAATTAATTATTGTGATGGCGTACGCATAAATTAATGTGATGCACAGCAGGCGGTCTTGCCGGTCGCGGCAAGGCGCGCTAAACAAGTGCCGCGGCCAGAACCGTAGAGGGCGCTGTAGCGCAGCAGATACGTAGTTGCGAGATGTGCGCCTACGCTAAACTGAATTCATTACATGAATACATCAATACCAGTCAGGCACAAGTTTTCATATCCTTCGAAATTTTGAAAAATGGTTCAGTGAAATGAAATGAGTTGTGAATTTGCAGTGCCCAGGGAATGAGCATGTGTGCTCACCAATTCTCTTCGAAATTTGTCAGTCAAACAGAATGAGAATGTGTTAGGATGGGACCATATCACACGGGACCATATCACTTACATCTGTGTGCGGATGTCCTGATATAACCAGGTCTACACATACACCGGTCTTCATTACGTGCTGCTACCAAGTTGTTGCTGTCGTTGCAGTAGACTGTGATAATAAACACAGAAGCACATTAAACTGCAACAATGAACAGAGAAGCATATTACACTGCAGGAAAAACAAATATACTGCTGTCTGGGTTGACAACACTGGTAATGCCAATTGAGCAGTGCCCGTATTGACAGAATTTTAAAAACTTGCTCTACATATTACTATTGTGATTACACACGAAAATCCGGTGGAACAAAAAGTGATAAAATGTCTCTACTCACGAGTTTCATGCTGAAAAGCAATTATCAGGAGACTGGGGCTATAGTCGGGGTTGTATGGTCTTATTCACTATAGGTGTTGTCCCATGGCAGGTATGCAATGCTAGTGTTTCAGCGCGAAGGCAGTATAAGCGATCAGTATGGTGTTATACGGGTGGCATGGGAGTATTATGAAGGCAGTGTAAGTGATCAGTGCAGTACTATGCGGGTGGCGTGGGGATATTATGACACCGGCCATGGCGCTACCGGGCCGCGGGGCAAAGGAGAATACAGGCAAGATGCTTGTTGGGAAGGCCGTCGTGGCCATGTGTTTTTTATGAAGTATTTACTATTCAATATTTCTCTCAGGATGTGAAATATGAAATGTCTCAGAAATTCAGTTTATTTTGGAACGCAATTTCGCGTACATGTAGTGATTTAGCCTACAGTTAGTTCACGAGTTATTTCGTAGGTGTGTTTGTTTCTTGCGTTGCACAGTGCAAGACAAGAATTTGCACAACTGCACAAGAGTATTGACGTTGACTCTCAAAATGATTCTTGGTCGCATTTTGTTTGTTTCTTCTAAGTTTTGACAAAGCTAAAGGGACATTCTATTTTCGTTTTGTCTTTTCTCGCAGTGTTTCCTTTCATTTCTAAGCCGCGACGCCGTCGCGTACTGCGGTACGACGGGTCACGCGCTGCCAACCTACTGCATTCTTTATTCACCAGTTTTCACGGCTACACTGCATGCATTGTATAATGACTCATAATTATGTTTTGCGCTGCGCTGGCTTTTTCAGAGTTTGGTTTTTCGATGAGGCTCGGCAAGCAATGAGTTCGGTTCTTCGAAAGGAAGAGAAAGAGTTGTCTTTTTGTTGTTTGCGAAATATCTATTTTACTACCACGAAGTGTTCCCGTTGCGTGTGAGAACCTGCATGACAAATTGGTAGCAGAGGATGGTTGTCAAGTAGTGGTTCCTTCACCAAGCGCAGTGTGGTAGTGAGTAGCATTTCGGGTTTTCGCTGGACAACATGGATCTTGAGGAGTGCAAGAAAGCGAAGGCCAAGGCCAAGTTCCATGTCACACGAAATCGAAACTTGTTGCTCAGCAGGATCTACGAAGAGGATGCGACCTCGAAAGAGATCAAGAGGTTGTTGGATGACGTGACTGAGAGTGTTCACAACGCTGTGGATGTGTGTCTAAAACTGGTAACTCGGTACGCAGAATTAGGACTACCCACAGAAAAAGTGCACGAGGAGATAGAGGTCATCAACGTCGACTACAGCGATGCTGTCAGCAAGACCAGCGACGTGCTGGCAGAAATAAGCAAGAGGCCAAGTCGAGCCAGAACGGGTGAAAGTTCGCCAGCTTCCATCACCAGAGCCAAGAACATAAGATTAGTAAAGGCAATGTTGACGCAGAGCTTGGAGAATCCCAGAGCAAGTGGGAGGATGTTGACACCGCCACACTCTCCTAGCAAGGCCCTTGAGGAAAAACAGAACATGTGTGCTGAGAAGAGTCTCAGTCGTTTTGGGAATGTGTCTGCATCCAGTGTCAGCCAGAGTGCGACTGTTGAGAGGACTACCCAGCCGCCTGCCGTTTCCTCGGGAGCACCTCTGAGAGCAAATGCATCGGCACTCCCCCTGGGAACTCCAAGTGGTGACCATCGTGATAGACAGGACGAACCGCCTGGGGCTGACATGGCAAGCGTCAGTGACAGCCAGCCAATTATGTCGTCATCAAGTGCAACCATGGCAACCAATGTGAGTACAGACAAGTCACGCACAATCAAGGTGTCCTTTCCGGTCTCTTTGTCGTCTGTACCTACGTTACCGTTTACGGCGGAGCTCTTGTCAAAAGTTCACCCGGTTGCCATGGCAACCGCCGAAACCATGGCAACACCGCGGAACATTGGTCATCAGTCTGCAGGGAGTAACCAGGCAAGTGGCATTGCTCAGTCTGGCGTGCAGCAGGCACCGGTATCTACGTCGGCAGCTTCGGCAAGAAACGTAATCACTGCCCCTAACCGTAGTTCAAGTGGGGTCAGTGTACCACCCAGAGCATTGTCGGCCACGACCATACTCGTGCAGTCAGCCCAGACGCAACCAACTCCTGCAGTGCAGCCTCCTCGTGGGATGCAACCAACTCCAGCTGTGCAGCCTCGTGCAGTTGCAAGTCATACTCTCTCGGCTTCTACACCTGCATTTGTGCCGGGATCAGGAAATTTGTACGTTCCACCGCCGACCCATTCTGGACATCCATTCTCATTTGGAACACCACCGGGTTTCTTGTCGGCACCCGACTTCCCGACGCACGTCTTGCCGAATCAGTCTGGAGTAATGTCTACACCACCAGCGACCCAACCGGTCATGCAACAAATACCAGTTGGTCAGCCGGGTCACGCATCACACAGTGAAGATTATGGTCTTGTGCAGCCGAGCAGTCTTCCAGTTGCCATGACTTCGCCGAGTGGTCTGCCAGTGCAAGCGAGTGGTTCTGGTAGAATCGAATTGTACCGACATTTAGAGAAAGTGTCAATTCCAACGTTCAAGGGCGACAAGCGGCAATATGAGACGTGGAAGGCGGCGTTTGAGATGTGCATTGGCTGCGCTAACATTCCGGATGGGCTGAAGTTATTGCAGCTCCGAAAATACCTCGCGGGCAATGCACTACGGTCTATCGACACTCTTGGCTACTCGGCCGAGGCGTATGAGGCAGCACGACGTAGGCTGGAACGCAAGTTCGGTGGTCAGCGACGTCTAGTTGCAGTGCATCTAGAAGCCCTTGAGAAGTTCCCAGCGATGAGATCTGCAAACGCCCAGGAGTTGGAGCGTTTTGCGGAGCTACTCGATGTCGCTGTGGTGAATTTGAAGGCGAGTGGTCAGACACAGGAGTTGGCTAACGGGACATTTTATGTCCGGCTAACACAGAAGCTGGGGGTGTCTCTTCTGCTGAGCTACCAGAAGTGGATACACCAGACAAGCACCTCTGAATCTGTCGAAGCGCTTCTGCAATGGGTGGAGCTGGAAAGCGAGTTCCAAGTACGAGCCCAGGAGACGATCCAAGGTATCTCCACGGCAACTCCAGTAGGGTCCACTCAAACAGCAAAGAGTCACCCGCTGAAGGGTCAGGCCAGTCATGGTGGAGTGAAGCATCAGGCATTCTTCGCTGACAAGCCCAAGAAGGCCCAGAGCAGCAGCAGTTGCCCGATCTGCACGAAGATCCATCCCGTTTGGAAATGCCTAGAGTATCGGAAGCTGTCAATTGCAGAGCGTTGGCAGAAGGCCCGGACGCTCAAGCTTTGCTACCGTTGCCTTAACTCTGGTCATTTGGGAAATAACTGTCCCAGGTCGCAGCCCTGTGGTGCCGACGGTTGTACAGAGACCCACAACGCGTTGCTGCACGGAAAGTCTAGTGCTACTACAGACTCGAATGGAGCCTCACAGAAGCCAGTGCTCCAGTCTAGCGCCTCCACGGAGGGGGGTGACACCAGTTCCATGGCCACTCATATGAGTAGTGTCGGCGTTAGAGCTGTCGCACTGCGAACCGTTCCCGTCATACTTCGCCACGGCGACAAGAATGTCACGGTCAACGCGCTGCTGGACGACGGCAGCACGCAGTCTTACCTTAATTGCGACGTTGCGGCACAGCTAGAGCTTAGCGCTCCCACACAAGAAGTGTCAGTGAGCACGCTGAACGGCCGCATCGAGACCCTAGAGACCATGCCAGTCGACTGCCACATCGAGAGTCTGGATGGCAGATTTATCACACAGTTCTCTGCTCTGACTGCCAAGAATGTCACCGGTGACCTTACACCTCATGATTGGTCGGTAGATCAGACACGGTATCCGCACCTCAACGGCATCGAGTTTCCGCAATGCCAGAAGAAGCGAGTAGAGGCGCTGATCGGCCTTGACCACGCTAGTCTCCACAGGTGTATGGAGGAAGTCTATGGTGAGGCTCATGAGCCATTCGCACGCAGAACGCCACTCGGGTGGACATGCGTTGGCAGGAGCACCAGACCGCAACAGACGACAAATTTTACCCGCACGTACTTCGGAAAGGACGTCGACCTGAATGCACTGGTGAGAAGGATGTGGGAGGTGGAAGAACTTTCCCAGTCGTACAAATTCTGTGCAGATGATCAAGCCGTTTTTGATCAGACGGTCCAGTCGATGACCTACAAGAACGGAAGATACCAGGTTTCGGAGCCGTGGATCAAGAGACCACCTCCGGACAACTACAGTCGAGAAACTGCAATGAAGCGGCTCATCGCAGCAGAGAGACGCCTGGCGAAGGAGCCAGACGTCGCTGAGGAATACCGAACCGTGATTCGCCGTCACTTAGAACAAGGGTATATCAGCAAGATCAGCAACGCAAGTGATGGCGACGGCTGGTATCTGCCGCACTTTGCTGTTGTACGACCTGGGGCTACATCCACAAAGGTGCGTGTGGTCTTTGATGCAGCAGCAAAGACAAAAGGCAAGTGTCTGAATGACTACATCAGCACTGGGCCCAAACTACAACGGGACCTCACCGACGTTCTCCTGCGGTTTCGGCGACACCCAAACGCACTGGTAGCCGACGTTGCAGAGATGTATCTACAAATCGAGTTGGAAGAGGATGACCGACAGTTCCATCGATTTCTTTGGCGAGAAGATACGGAGGACCAACCGGCCGTTTACCAGTACAATAGAGTGGTGTTCGGGATCAATGCATCTCCATTCTTAGCTCAACTGGTCTCGCAAGAGCATGCGCGGCGGAACCAGGAGGAGTTTCCTATGGCAGCAGAAACCGTGT